AGGGAGCCAAGACCTACACCGCAAGGCTTGGCGATCGGATTCTTTGGGACCTTTATGAGGACAGAGATGTCTACAACGAGATGTGGCAGATCCCTGTGGTCCCAATGCCTAAGGAGAGGCAAGTGGCAGCAAGCGTCAGCACTAAAGGTGGAGCGGTTGGTAGCGGCGATTGCGCGGACGGTCGCGCTAAGGAGAAGGAGTCCAAGAAGTGCAAACTTGGAGGGACCAGCAAGCTTGGTGAACCTATGGAGAGAGGTGCAGCAGCCAAGGAGCAGCAAAAGGGTGAGGAGAACCCCGAGGCAGCAGCGGAGGAGGACTACGGAGAGAGTATGTGGGGCGCTATTGCGAGCGCGGCATTCTCCAATCTAACTTCGGCTACGGGGGAGTGTGATTGGCTCACCTTGCATCGGTGCATGGGGCATGTGGCCCTGCCTATCTTGCAGTAGCTAGTGAAGAATGAGATGGTTGCTGGCATACGTGTGAAGGGGGAGCCCGATGAGGTACTTGGCTGCCCGACGTGCATGCAAGCCAAGTTCACCCGTTTCCCATTCTCTAGTTCGGAGGCAACGGCTAAGGCACCACTTGATGAGGTGGTGATGGACGTGGTGGGCCCCCTGAAGCTTGGAGCTGCTGGAGCTGAGTACTTCCTCACTATTGTGGATGTCTACACCCGTATGACTTGGGTGTACGTGCTGGCCAAGAAGAGCGACGTGGCTGAAACGTTGAAGACGGATTGGTTCCCGATGGTGGAGCGCCAACAAGACCGTCTAGTCAAGTCAATCCGCACCGATCGAGGGGGAGAGTTCTTGAGCAAGGAGTTTGGGTAGTGGCTGAAGAAGAATGGTATTCGGCACTCCCTCACCATGCCATACTCCCCTGCAATGAACGGCATTGCTGAGCGAGCGAACCGCACAATCACGGAGGCGGCACGCGGGTTGCTCATTGAAGCCAGGCTACCCGACTATTTCTGGCCTGATGCGGTGCGGAGCGCGTGTGTGGCCAAGAACAGAGCCTTGACTCATGTGGGAGCAGACAAATGAGTGCCCTATGTGGAGTGGCTAGGAAGGAAGCCAAAAGTGGATATGCTTCGGGTGTTCGAGTGCATGTGCATGGCGCTCGTGCCTAAGCATCTTCGGCACAACAAGCTTGGTGCCAAGGCGGTGTGGGCCGTGCACTTGGGCATGGCTCAAAACAGCAAGGGATGGCTTCTTTGGGACCCATTCACCAAGAAGTTCTTGGTGAGCAGGGACTGCAAGTTCATGGAGAACTTCATGTACAAGGATTGGAAGGCGGAGAATGAGGCGAAGATAGGCGTGCGGTTTGGGGAGGTGAAGAGTTCCGGTTTGGAGCATGTGGAGCTGCCTTTGGAGCTGAGCAGTGGCAGCACTACCACAAGGCAATCTTCCCTTGTGAATGGGGGAGAGGAGGCCAATGATGCAGAGGAAGAAGAGGAGGAGGTGCAGCAAGTGAGCGAGCGTGCACCGTCACTCCCTTCCCGCACTACGAGTGCTCCACGGATTCGAGCCACACCGCAGCAACGCCAAGGCCTTCAAGTCCCTGCAGCTGAGGAGGAAGGAGGAAGAGGAGAGTTCAACCCCCTAATAGGCTGACCTATGATGCACTTGGAAAGCAAGGCAAGACAGCCCTGGCCGGAGCGGCAATGATGGTCGGAGACGACGAGGAGAGTGACTACGAGGAGTGTGCCTTCGCGTTCTTCTCTCCGGTGGAGATGCTGGGAGAACCAGCAACTCTCAAGGTGGCTTTGGAGAGTAGTGATGCTGAGGAGTGGAAGAAGGCCATGGAGAGTGAGCTGAAGAGCATCGAGGAGAATGACACGTTTGAATTGGTGGAGCTACCGGAGGGGTGTACGGCGATAACGTTCAAGTGGGTTTTCAAAATCAAGTCGGATGCCGACGGCAAGATCGAGCGTTACAAGTCCAGACTTGTAGCCAAGGGGTACCAGCAGAAGGAGAAGGTGGACTTCAAGGAGCTGTTTGCCCCTGTGGTGAAGCCGACGACGCTGCGAACCCTATTCGCGGGAGCCGCCATCAAAGGATGGGTGGTGAAGCAAATGGACATTGTGACGGCATTCCTTAACGGCATCCTTGAGGAGGAGATTTTTATGGCGCAGCCAGAGGGGTTTGATGATGGTAGTGGCAGAGTGAGGAAGCTGAAGAAGGCCCTCTATGGGCTGAAGCAGGCCCCTAGGCAATGGTACATGAAGCTGCGCGAAGTGTTGGAGGAGATCGGCTTCACTCCCTCAACGGCCGATCACTCCTTGTTCATGCTTGGCGAGGGGGAGCAGAGGAGCTTCATGGTGGTTTATGTGGATGACATTCTCATATTTGCACCCTCCTCTGACCTTGTGAAGGAGGTGATGCTGAAGCTGCATGACAAGTTCAAGTGCAAGTCCCTTGGTGACGTGAACTTCTACCTTGGGCTCCACATCGAACGAGACGTGGAGAAGCGGAGCATGCGAGTGCACCAACGGAAGTACCTG